AGTCACCTGAAACATCGCCGTCGCTACGGTGGCGATGTTTCAGGTGACTGTAAGCATACGAAGCGTACGAAGACGCCTGCGCTGCTAAACTAGCGGCGAATCCAAAGCCAGCTGCAAAGGCACCGGGACTTTTACCTATCGACGAGGCTTTTGAAAAAGGCAAGAAGTTTGCCAGAGACGACCCCAGGCACACCAGGTGTGCAAAAAATAACAGGTACATTTAATATATATATATATATATATATATATATTATATTATTATCGGTTATCGGTATCGGTCTTGAGAAGCAGGAAGTTATCAGTATCGGTATCGGTTTCAAAAAACCAATATCGTGCATTCCTAATAGCGGTGTTACTCAAAGCGCAGACAAGCTGTTAATGTTTCAATATGTAAACCGGGAAGTAAATGGATTTCTGACTGAAGAGGAAAGTAATCAATAAATAATAAACCTTTGGCCACATGGCTTTCACAGTTGGCAAAGCATGCCTCAAAATGATGGAAACTCGAGAGCAGTGCAGATCATTTTACTTCAATAGATAGATTTAATAAATATTACCTTTGCTACCGATGCTGGTTTTCAGTTGGGGACTTTGGGTGCTTTGTTTGTTTTTCAGAAAGATTAAGAAAAACTATTGGCCAGATTTAATGAGACTTGTAGGAGTTCACAATTCGTAATATGGACTAGTGCTAAATGCTCTGATTGGTTAGCTGGCCGGCTCTGTTGTGATTGGTCAACCGCTTAGAGATGTCCCGCCCCTTAACCTATAAACGTATAAATGTTTTAGCGCTAGCCAGTAGAAGCGTGAATGTTCCATAGGGATGTCATTATGTTCCTGAAGTAAACAAAGGAGTCCAATGGGGCGTTTCAGGGGGGGGGGGTTGCAACTAGAAGTATTTTTATCAAAGTGGCTTCAACTTTTAATTGAACAATTTAGATTAGTTATAAATGGACCTTTGAGTTGAAATTGTTATGGTTGTTTTAAAGTAAAGGAAAATGTGAATTCACCTAAACAGGACATGTGATTTCTAAAGTTGATTTCAAAAGAGAAACAAAGTCATCGTAGCATATGTGTCCTTTCCCCCCACATGCAGTCATGTATGGAGCATTGGTGTGTTTCTTTCCACAAGTAACAGCACCCATGTCATCATTAAAGTGTGTTCTGGGGGTTGAGAGCATCATGGAGTCTGAGCGTGGGCCGCCGCTAAGCACCGGCTGCATCATTACCTCCGCCTCCAGAGGCACGGCGGCCAGCAGGAACTGACGGGATCCAGACGGAGAAAACGTTTTCCGCCAGAACTATTATTAGTCTTCAATCACTTCAGACAGGAGGTAAGGGAAACATTTCCAGCATCGCTCTACGCTCCTGCACAACACTACATCTTTGTCTTTTTTCAGCACAAAGGGTTGCAATCGATCCAAATGCTAGCGAAATTATCCAAATCGCACCAAGCGCAATATGTGGTAAAGGCCAAACATCTGAATGAAAGAAGTCCCGGCCCGTTGACAGTGTTCTAAAGACTTCTTACAAATCTGTGTTTGGTACAGAAATCATATGACACCATGATCCTTTGAATGATGTTTCACTCAGGGTCCATTTTTCAAATCGTGCAGCCATAACAGTTGGTGATGCATTTGCATGGAACTGCAGGTTTCAGCTAACTGATCAATATAGCTTCCAATTAGCTTTAAAGCATCAACGTAGAACAGCAGCAGCTTGTCAAACGAGCAGAGAAAACGGTTATATGTCAGTTTGAGCGTGCAATGGAAAATAACAACACTTAGTTTTAGTGGAGTTTGAACGGGATGCAGGTGCAAAAAACCTGATTTGGACACTCCTGAGTATATGGATTAACTCTGAGGTAACGTTACGTAACAGTGGACGTCATCGGCAACACTTCAGGTTTCTGATGCCCCAGCCACACAAGGACGAAAACGGTCGTATCTGCTACAGTTCTCTATCAGATAGACGTTCGGCCACACGACGCCGATACGGAAACGCAGATAACGATAACGGGTCCCTAGGTGGGTAGATCTGCAAACGAAACGCTCTGGGGGGGCAAACTGCTCCGTGTTTACGCCTATACGATCATGTCCTGATAACGATGAAGCAATAGCCCCGCCTCTCCTGCTCAGAGATCAGCTGCTGGGCTCTCAGAAGAGGGGGAGGAAAAGAGAGGCTCCGTGTTTTATTCTTATATGATTATATAGAGTCGTTATTCATTTGTTTTAAAGCTCAATAAATAACAAAGAAGACCTTTGACCGGCACTTTTCTAATTTTGTCCGGAAGATTTAAACTTTAACGGACATGTTGAAAAAATCGAACTGAAACTCTGCCGCACGGTTCCCTCGTCCATTGGAAGAGGCGGAGAGGTGGGTGTTTGTCATCTGCTGGTGGACTAACGGAGAGAATTATAGCAGGAGCACACGCTTGCCTCGGGGAGGGAGAAAGAGCTAGAGCGTCCACAGTGGAGAATAAACAGAAGGGCAACCATGGCAACCAGGCACGGGAAGTCTTCTTCGCTGCTTTTGTGGCAGGACTACAGCGCCACTTACAGGCCTGGCATATGTACTACAGCGTTTCGAGCGGTCTCGTGTGGACGGAAACGTTTCTGGTGCCTCTTGCGTGTGGACGGAAGACTTTTTTGATAACGATTGCGGTCCGTTATCGTCCTCGTGTGGCAAGGGTATAAATGAAAGGCACAAGCGCTGCTACTAATGACTACTTTCATTATGAACTAATGTACTGATTATTCTATATATAAATCGGTTCGATGTTAGTCTAATATTGTCAGAAAATAAGCGTCCATCCTAGTTTCTATAACTCCAAGTTTTTTCCGTCCAAAACCTAAAGATATTGACTTTGATTTGATATAAAAACAGAGATAAAAGCAGGAAATATCCACATTTAAGTGGTTGAATGCAGTTTCTTGACATTACAGTATATCAGGAAGAAGAGGTTTTACTGTCCTATGAACAGTAGCTACATCTTGGTGGTTGTCAAGGAAAATCTGAAGTGCCATGCGTCTCAAACAGTGCTAAGTACAATCAGCGTAAGGCAAAAGAAGTAAGGAAGTAATATATAGTGCAATAAGAAATGGTGCAAGTGAAACAAAGGTATAGTGCAGGAGAAAGTACACAATGTTTATGTAAGATAAAAAAGATAAGGCGGGATTATGTGAAATTGTTGGAGATTAACGTCAATCGACTAAAAGAAAAGATGTACATAACAATGGTAACGCACAGCAGGAAGTGATGGTGTAAGCCAAACAGTACAGACCATTGTTGTGAGGACATTCTGATAAAAACAAAACAATGGCTGTTCTCAGATCTGCTTCCTGTCAGACTTCACTTGGATAACCCCCCCCCCCCCCTGCCTGCAGAGAGTTTTATTGATTTTTCCGTCCTGCAGAGATCCAGAGCTGGGCAGGAGTCCAGGGATTCAAACCAGCAACACACAGACACACAGACACGCCTCTCACCTCGCACCAGGGGAGTACTACTAACACGAGGAAATCCACTTCCTCTGCGAGACAACAAATCGATCGCCACGTTTTCCTAAAGACTTCACACTGTATTTATGAATCAGCGCCGGGAGAAGCAGGACTTCCAGCACCACTTGGAGAGGAAATGCTCTCAGATTTCCTCGTGTTGGATCTCAAGTTTCTGTCTTATTAATGTGACACGGGTTTAATATTCTGAACTTGCACAAATAAACTCCCACGTCTGCCTTCTGTCGGAGCAGATTCATCCCTCTCTGGATGGAAACACCTCGTCTCTGCTTATTGAAATCAAACACCACGAGACGCTCATTACCAGGCTCCCCAGTGGGAACATGGAGTCAGAACTGGCATCCCGCGCTTGTTTTATTGAGTGAGAACTCGCAGGTCCAGGCTGCCCTCCAGCACCACAGCAAGATGCATTCATCTGAGGGGGGGGGGGCTTTCACTTAATCAGCTGACGGTCCTTGAATGAAGTGCAGCCAAGGACCGGGATTCAATGCATCCTGATATCCAATGCATGCAATCCGGAAATAAATGAATAACTGAACATAAAGCTTTTTTAAGCAGCTCTACCTATGTGTAGTGTGCAGAGATTTTAACCAACATTAAAGGTTAAGAGGACTTTTAAGATATTCCTGTCAGTTTTAAGGAGATTTTGTTTGCATTTAAGAAAGGCGTGTAGCATGGATTATACTGAGTTTAAGGTAAGCACAAACAAAGCAGACTTTAAGAAGAAGTCCGTTTTAAGGCTGATGAGGGGTTTTACCCAATGGGATGGAAGCTGCAGATCGATAGCATTGTTTAATGTGTAATGTTACAGGGTGGTGGGTTCATTACAATGTTATTGTTCAAGGCAATTAAAAAAGAACTGCATAAAGTATTGGTTTAACAACCTAGATACCCCTGATTCCCCCTCTTCACCACTATGCCAGATTCCTTTCGGATTTCACTCAATTTAAGGTAGACGTGACCCGAACCAAGAAGATATACACAGCACAACTGTAGAAACACATGACATTCAACAAGTCCAGTAGATTGTTCAATTCGGCATTAACTTCTACAAAAACATAGCGGTTTGTTTTTTTAGGAGATATATCTAATTGAACAGCTGGTTCACGATGGTGCTGGTCGCTCTCAAAGGAGTGTTGTGATACGGAAACAGCGTGGAAGCAACAGGAGAATCAAAGAGAAAAGGAGCTATTTTGCTCAAATTAAACAATTCATGGAGGATGTAATATATGCCGAATTGATAAGTAGGTGCATATGATTGTAAACATATTAAAAGTGTAGTTGTTTGTTGGAAATATTGTGTCAGGTGGGAGAATATGCTTTAAATTGACTCATTTCTAAAAGGAGCTTCGACCCTAAATATTGTACATTGCGCATAGGAATCCTGAAGCATTAGGACATGTTTCTGAAATATAGAGATGACGTGCTGTTTTATATCAAATTAAATATATTGTTGGTCTCTTGAAAGCAAACAGGTGTTTCTCTCACCTTCTGCTGCCGCCGGGCCATGTCTGTGGGCTGCTTGGCGTTGAAGGGGTATGCAATGCACCGGAGGACAAACACATAAATCTGCACTTTAGTCTTCCTCTCCTCTTCCTCCTTCTGGATCCTCTCCCTCTCCTTCCTCTCCTCCTCCTCCTCCTCTTCACCTGTATCGTTGCAGTCTTTCGGAGCACCTTTCCCGGGGACAGCAGCTCCAGGCGCGGGGGGGGTTCTCCGGTTGTTTCCACGTTTCCCCCCCGAAGAAGGTGCATGTTTCCTGGGAGCCTCCTGCACAACTTCTGGGTCGGACTCCCCGCCCGTGTCTTCGCTGGAGGACGGGTCCAGCATGGTGGGGAACTCCGAGAAAAAAGAGAAACACCTGTCAGAGTTTGTTTGTTTTAGTCGACGTGGCGTTAACAGCTGCACTTTCACACCAACGGTTCTTCTATTCAGCCGTTAGTGTTCGGTGCAAACACCCGCGTGGACGTCGGTTAGTTTCCAAACGGTTTTTAACGGTTAATATTCATCGGGGTTGTCGTCGCTTGCGCTTCGTTCCGACGCACCGCCGGGAATGTGATGTGTTGGAATGGCTGCGCGTAACCGCTGCTGTGAGCGCGCTTTGGCAGTGAGCGCTCCTGCAGACACAGGTGAGCAACCTGTAGCTGCAGAGAGAGGACAAACACAGCGAGAGGGATCACTCTGACGGGGTTTATTAAAAAACCCTCTTGTGCAAACAGTTAATAGGTTAGTAAAAGATGTTGTACGGAAGAGGATTAGGGCCACTTGAGAACAAAACATGGGGAATGTGAAAAACCCTGATTCTGGATTTTTTTCCTCAGAGTTCTGAAATTAAAGTCACTCAACTCAATCATCCTGTGCTATACTGTATTCAGCTCAGATAAGATAGGAAAGTATAAGATAAGATTGACCTTTTAAGCATTAAGAGTGAGATTGAAAAACAGGACAGTACAAGATTAATACAATTAAAGATATATGCAGGTAAGTAACTGTTAAAATAATAAATGAATTACATGAACATATGTGAACATATATTTGAGTCCCATATATACTGAGGAAAAAGTACTTTTACTTTATTACTTTCAGAGACAATTATATTACTTTTTATCACACCACATTTCCTATGTCGAGTTTAGTTACTGTTCTGATCAAGATTTTACAAAAGATGTTATATTATAACTATTTAAAGAAGTTGCAGTAAAGATTAAGTATTTTAATGTTCTGCTATCTGTAGCTGCAGAGTCTTTTGTTTATATTGTATGTTGCAAACAAACAAGTGATGACAAAAGGACTTACTTCTTCAATTGTATTAGGGGCAGCCGCAGCTCAGTCCCTGGTTCGAGTCCCTGGTTCGAGTCCTTGTCCGTGCCGAAAGAAAGACGGATCCTGAACTACTTCCAGGTGCAAACACATGGCAGCCTCTTAGCTCTGACACATACCTGTAAAGATGCAGGTGTATGTTTTTGATTGTGTATTATTTACTAACATCGTATAACTGAATTTTCCCTTGTGGGATTAATAAAGTATGTATTTTTCTTCTTCATCCTTATGCTAGTTTATGCAATACTAATCTACATGTCAGCAGGCACGTGCACACATCAAAGTGGGCTTGAGCCCCTGCCCTTTTTCCTCCTCCAGAGAAAGTGCCCTTTTTTCCCCCTTTTTTTATTTTTATAAATGAATATATATCTACTGCTGTTAGGGTTAGGGGTTACAGCGCACAGTTTCCCTTTCCAAAAATATATTGATTGAATACAAAATTAAAATATCAGGTCGGGAGATTAGACTGTGAAGTTCCGTAGCTCTCTCCACCCTCCCTCCACGTCTCCTGCACAGCGGTGCGGACATCGGCAGTCCCTTCAGACAGACAGGTAGCAGCACCTCCCACTTTACTGTCCCTTCAGACAGACAGGTAGCAGCACCTCCCACTTTACAGTCCCTTCAGACAGACAGGTAGCAGCACCTCCCACCTTACTGTCCCTTCAGACAGACAGGTAGCAGCACCTCCCACTTTACAGTCCCTTCAGACAGACAGGTAGCAGCACCTCCCACTTTACAGTCCCTTCAGACAGACAGGTAGCAGCACCTCCCACTTTACTGTCCCTTCAGACAGACAGGTAGCAGCACCTCCCACCTTACAGTCACCAGACAGACAGGTAGCAGCACCTCCCACTTTACTGTCCCTTCAGACAGACAGGTAGCAGCACCTCCCACCTTACTGTCCCTTCAGACAGACAGGTAGCAGCACCTCCCACTTTACAGTCCCTTCAGACAGACAGGTAGCAGCACCTCCCACCTTACTGTCCCTTCAGACAGACAGGTAGCAGCACCTCCCACTTTACAGTCCCTTCAGACAGACAGGTAGCAGCACCTCCCACTTTACAGTCCCTTCAGACAGACAGGTAGCAGCACCTCCCACTTTACTGTCCCTTCAGACAGACAGGTAGCAGCACCTCCCACCTTACTGTCCCTTCAGACAGACAGGTAGCAGCACCTCCCACCTTACTGTCCCTTCAGACAGACAGGTAGCAGCACCTCCCACCTTACAGTCCCATCAGACAGACAGGTAGCAGCACCTCCCACCTTACTGTCCCTTCAGACAGACAGGTAGCAGCACCTCCCACCTTACAGTCCCATCAGACAGACAGGTAGCAGCACCTCCCACTTTACAGTCCCTTCAGACAGACAGGTAGCAGCACCTCCCACCTTACTGTCCCTTCAGACAGACAGGTAGCAGCACCTCCCACTTTACAGTCCCTTCAGACAGACAGGTAGCAGCACCTCCCACCTTACTGTCCCATCAGACAGACAGGTAGCAGCACCTCCCACCTTACAGTCCCATCAGACAGACAGGTAGCAGCACCTCCCACCTTACTGTCCCATCAGACAGACAGGTAGCAGCACCTCCCACTTTACAGTCCCATCAGACAGACAGGTAGCAGCACCTCCCACTTTACAGTCCCATCAGACAGACAGGTAGCAGCACCTCCCACTTTACAGTCCCATCAGACAGACAGGTAGCAGCACCTCCCACTTTACAGTCCCATCAGACAGACAGGTAGCAGCATCTCCCACCTTACTGTCCCTTCAGACAGACAGGTAGCAGCACCTCCCACTTTACAGTCCCATCAGACAGACAGGTAGCAGCACCTCCCACTTTACAGTCCCATCAGACAGACAGGTAGCAGCACCTCCCACTTTACAGTCCCATCAGACAGACAGGTAGCAGCACCTCCCACCTTACTGTCCCTTCAGACAGACAGGTAGCAGCACCTCCCACCTTACTGTCCCTTCAGACAGACAGGTAGCAGCACCTCCCACCTTACTGTCCCTTCAGACAGACAGGTAGCAGCATCTCCCACTTTACTGTCCCTTCAGACAGACAGGTAGCAGCACCTCCCACTTTACTGTCCCTTCAGACAGACAGGTAGCAGCACCTCCCACTTTACTGTCCCATCAGACAGACAGGTAGCAGCACCTCCCACTTTACTGTCCCTTCAGACAGACAGGTAGCAGCACCTCCCACTTTACTGTCCCTTCAGACAGACAGGTAGCAGCATCTCCCACTTTACTGTCCCTTCAGACAGACAGGTAGCAGCACCTCCCACTTTACTGTCCCTTCAGACAGACAGGTAGCAGCACCTCCCACTTTACTGTCCCTTCAGACAGACAGGTAGCAGCACCTCCCACTTTACTGTCCCTTCAGACAGACAGGTAGCAGCACCTCCCACTTTACTGTCCCATCAGACAGACAGGTAGCAGCACCTCCCACTTTACTGTCCCTTCAGACAGACAGGTAGCAGCACCTCCCACTTTACTGTCCCTTCAGACAGACAGGTAGCAGCACCTCCCACCTTACTGTCCCTTCAGACAGACAGGTAGCAGCACCTCCCACCTTACTGTCCCTTCAGACAGACAGGTAGCAGCACCTCCCACTTTACTGTCCCTTCAGACAGACAGGTAGCAGCCCCTCCCACCTTACTGTCCCTTCAGACAGACAGGTAGCAGCACCTCCCACCTTACAGTCACCAGACAGACAGGTAGCAGCACCTCCCACTTTACTGTCCCTTCAGACAGACAGGTAGCAGCACCTCCCACCTTACTGTCCCTTCAGACAGACAGGTAGCAGCACCTCCCACCTTACTGTCCCTCAGACAGACAGGTAGCAGCACCTCCCACCTTACTGTCCCTTCAGACAGACAGGTAGCAGCACCTCCCACCTTACTGTCCCTCAGACAGACAGGTAGCAGCACCTCCCACCTTACTGTCCCTTCAGACAGACAGGTAGCAGCGCCTCTCACCTTACTGTCCCTTCAGACAGACAGGTAGCAGCACCTCCCACCTTACAGTCACCAGACAGACAGGTAGCAGCACCTCCCACCTTACTGTCCCTTCAGACAAACAGGTAGCAGCACCTCCCACCTTACAGTCACCAGACAGACAGGTAGCAGCACCTCCCACTTTACTGTCCCTTCAGACAGACAGGTAGCAGCACCTCCCACTTTACTGTCCCTTCAGACAGACAGGTAGCAGCACCTCCCACTTTACTGTCCCTTCAGACAGACAGGTAGCAGCACCTCCCACTTTACTGTCCCTTCAGACAGACAGGTAGCAGCACCTCCCACCTTACAGTCCCTTCAGACAGACAGGTAGCAGCACCTCCCACCTCACTGTCCCTTCAGACAGACAGGTAGCAGCACCTCCCACCTTACTGTCCCTTCAGACAGACAGGTAGCAGCACCTCCCACTTTACTGTCTCATGTGATGCCGGCTTTTCTTGGATTGTTTGAAGGTGAGTGGAGAGATAAACAAATGACTAAGAAGCTAGTGCCTCGAGTTTACAGCTAAGTCACCAGCCCCCCCTACTAGCGGTATTTACTTGCGGCACCGAGGTGTCACAAGCACCCCCCCCCCCCGTTGACAATTTACTAGCGGTACCGAAGTGGGCCGGTTGCGAGTCCCAGGCTGATTTTTTGTCCCAGTCCGCCCCTGGCTACTAGCTAATGGATAAGTTAGCTCAAGGTGTAGCTAAGGCCATTTATCATGGGCATACAATGTACTGTAGCGGAGACACTAAAGGAGACTACAGTCAAATGTGTATCTAATAACGTCGTCACAATCGCCACATTGATATATGGAAGCAAACGAGAGACAGAAGTATTTTAATTTTATCAGACACCAAATGAATACCACACCCCTTACAATTTCACTTCTGATATACTGCACATATTTTACCTAGTAATTCTTACTTTCCTATTTAGTGATAGTGTTTTAATATGACAGTGTTTGCAACACGTATACAGTGAAGCAGATTCCTGTGAATGTAAACTTTCTTGGCAATTAACCTTATCCTGAAACAGATATGGTTATTTTTACTCCACTGCATTTTGTGTGACAGCAGGTTGTAGGGAGACGTGTTTTCCCCTGCAGAGTGATACCTCCTCTCGAATAGACGATCTTTGAGCTGAAAGGGAAGCGACATGTGTTCGAGCTGCAACAGAAAACACATTTAAAGATGTACACCTCACAGTAAAAATATAAAGTAGTTTAACTAAAGTAATCTGTATGTATGTGTAGATAACAAGTGTCTCAACTAATGTGTTGTTTCAATGTTACAAATACGCTCTGGCAGA